CGTCCCGGCCTTCTGTCTCCTTCGATGCGGAGCAGGCCGAGTTTTATCTGATCCTACATATTGGTCCCATGGTGCTTTCTGAGCTGGTCGCCGTATCAAAATACTCCAAAGGAGCAGGTCCATTGTCAACGTGCGTCATCACAAACCATCTGCGCACAAATCCCCAAACAGATAATAGTTAGTGGTGTTAATAAGATGAAGCGTATCCACTGTAAAATGGGATATTTTTTGCAGGTTTCACCAGCTCAGGCAACAATAGTATCCCATTGAAAGCACACGGCCTGTAAGCTTGTACAAAAGACAGCACGTGCACGCAGAGGCCGCACACGCGTGCGCAATTTTCCACAATTGTAGACGACAATAAAACATCATTTCACACCGGAGTGTGCTCGCAGTCATTTAAAGCGAGCCCGCGGCGTTGACATAAATCACTGTGTGTGTGTGAAGCGTGTCTGCACACTGGCTTGACGGGCGACAGGTCTGAGAGGATTTCACCATGAAGGTTAGGAACTGTGAAATATCTGAGAGGTGCTGGAGCCCTCCTCCTCTCCAAATTACAGCCCGACGCCGAACGCCTGGTGTACGGCCTCAGCGGTCGAGGGGGGGGGGAAACGCCTTGGCAGAGCATAAAGGGCTCAGTGTGCGGCTGAAATGGCCGTGCGACTCCTGAAAATAAACAGGAATCAAATTGGGAGTGATTGATCGAATATATTAACCTCAGCAGCAAGCGCCACTCTCTCCCTCCCTCGCTCTCGCACACACGGACACACACACACACACACACACACACACACACACACACACACACACAGCTACTGATCAGCTCCGATGACCAGCCGGGTGGAAAAACAGACACTTGTTGCTGTTCACTCCGGTGCTCCGGGCCAGCTGCAATTGGGATGTAAATCAGTTGCACGGCCGCGTGGTGCTTGTGGGTGGGCAGCGGGGCAGCGGGGCAGCGGCGTGCCGGTTTTTTGCCATCAAGCAGGATGAGGGAACAGCCTGTGTGGAATTGTGGGGTTTTTGGGTTGTCCTCTTCACTCCGAAAAATGTTCAGATTGCAATTAGAGGGAAATGCAAAACATGGTGGTAGTTTAAGATTGATTATAAGTTTATATTTTGTCCAACATTCGTTTATTAATCTTCAGCTATATTCTGTCTTCGGAATATTTGAAAAATGTTGTGAATGATATAATATTGAAAGATTGTGACATTGCACAAAAACTAAGTTAACTTCAAATGAATTTACCTGCATTATAAGTAATTACATACTTTGTTGTAGTCAGTCTCAGAAACGTTTCCACGAAGAAGACTGAAATATGGATAATTTGCTTCCCATTTAAAGTTATTGATGATGAAGAAATTATGATCTGATGCACATTAAATTGAGTTTAGTTGTATGTTTGAACTCCATCCAAACTCCATCGGTACAGTTAGTACATTTACATGACTGCTTCAATACTACTTCACAGGCTGCATGTGGAAAAGCTACAGGAAACCGTTTGGATCGTCACCCGGTGAAGCTGACGCTTCCCTCACCTTTTAACTACCTGTGAGATTGTTGTGTTTTGCACAGGCCGGCGTTGTGCGCCTGAAATGTAAACCGTCCGATCTGATGAACCTGCCGACCGGTCAGAGGCTTCTGGAAATCAAGACAAGACACACACTCACACACTCGGACACACACACGCACGCACACACACATGTGCCCCTCCATGCTTGCCTCTGCGGTTTATTGAAATCTCCTCCTTGCTCTACCCGGGCCTCTGGGGTAACAAGATAGATGTAAACAACCAATTATTGGATAGACCCTCATTCATATCCTTTTAACCGGTACAGACACCGAGGTTCTGGCTTTAATACTTTCTCTCTCTCTCTCTCTCTCTCTCTCTCTCTCTCTCTGCCCAACGTTCGGAAGAATGTTACTCATCAAGCCGCTTGTTGTGCTGGTCTCAGGTCAGCCTTACAGAATAAAAGCCCCCGCTCCGACACGTAAGCTTTGCATACATACACCGGAAACACACATCTTGCAGTCATCAGCTCAATTGGTGCAGGTCGTGGCGGAGCGCGGCCGAGGGGAGCAGTGGGAGGTTTGTCAAAATAGGGGTTTTGCCTATTAGGGGAAAGGCGATCGTCCTTCATCAGCGGCCGTAATAATTACCGTTTCAGAGCCGGACCCCTCTGATCACACTGATCCGTGGAAACAAGTGGTTTACAAACATTGTCACGGGCCAAGCGCGGGACCCCGCTTTGTCGAATTTGAATTGCTTCCACCGCTCTTATCTATTCTCTTTGGGAGCGGCGTGTTTCTTTCTAACGGGGTGCTTCATAGTGGAATAAGTTTGGAGCGTATCTGCGTGCAGGCGATGGAGACGTGTTGCTGAGACAGGATGTGTCTTCAGGGAGGGATGATGTTTTTCACTTTTTCAAGTGAAAGATTAATTGAATTTCAGGCCCTATAACCATTAATGCTGGTATTAGTGTCGGCAGTGAGTATAAAACAAAGTGGATGATCTGCATAGAAACATTCATGATGATCAGAATATCAATGAGACCCTCTGGACCCTAATGAGGAGCTCCTACAAGGGCCACTACCTATTTTGGTTACATGTGATTGAAGGGCACATTTAGTTCGGGGTGAACTGATCTGGCTGTAAGTACTAATGGCAACAGGTAGAGTTAAAGTGAATAAAAATGAATGGAAAAGTTAAATACATATATCTATATTTTTAAATCACAGCTTGTAAGATTGATTTCAATCTGTAACTTCGGGTACAATTACAACAAATATCTGAACGACATTTTTTGGGATAGCCCCACGTGTGATTAAAACGATGCATGTGTGTGTTTGCACAGATCGATGGAGATGAGCTCTCACTTGTCTCTTTTCTGTTGTATTTACGAGCTGCCTGAGTCAAATTAAACCGTATTGAGGGAGTGATGGAGGGGGGATATTTAATGAGCGATATCATAAGACGTGTTTCTGTTATTATCCCGTTTCCCCCGTAATAGGGGAATCAAAGACATCCATTCTTGGCTGTCCTTGTTTGAGCTGCGCAGCGTGCAGCCGATAAATCGCCTCCTTGTTTTCCTCACTGTCCATTTCAGGCGAGTCCTCGATCCCAAGACGATTGCCATCAGTCAGCTTAGTGCCGCAATACTCTGCGAACTGGAACCCGCTGCATTTATTAAACAAAGAGGCAACACGACACGGAAACAGGGATCAGGCTCCTCTTACACGACCGCGCGTCTCCGCTGATAAACTCGCCTCATAATTGCCTCAATAATTCTGCTTAAACGGCCACGATCATGAATTAGGTCATCGCAGTAATAAAAAGGCCTTAACTGAGGAGGAGGGGGGGGGCGGGGGGGTGAAAAGTTGGCCCCGTCCTGAAACAACGGTGAACGTGTGACGTCATTAGGCAACAATTAATTTAATAGTTTATACCCCTGAGATTTGATGGTTTTTAAAGTGCAGCTGATATTTATTTGCGACTTATTTTTAGAATGCATTACGTTTTAGTCTGCACATGACATTACGTATATTAAACATTAAACAATTATAATTTTTATAATAATGAAATTATTGCATATATTTTAAATATGCTAAATCGACTTTAATAACTCTTTTTCCACACTACCAGTAACAAGCGTGTTTTACTAGTGGAGCCTGTTGGAGCTGAAACAGGTCTGTCAGAAGAGACAGGAGTGTGTGTGTGTGTGTGTGTGTGTGTGTGTGTGTGTGTGTGTGTGTGTGTGTGTGTGTGTGTGTGTGTGTGTGTGAGAGGCGGCAGCGTGGAGTGATGCTGATAATCGCGTGCGTAATGAAGAGGTCCCATGGCGAGGCGATAGAAATCTAACTGGTCAATCTTTGGCCCGACGGTCGATAAGGTGCCCGCGCGCGTGCCCACGCGCCACCTTCATACCTGACGACACCCCAACAAAGGTTATGACGGCGTGTCTCATGCTGCTGCCTCTTTTTGCTTCAACGCTGTTTTTCCACATAATCAAAAGAAAATTCAAATTGTGCATGAAAAAGTATTATTTTCTCTTTTAAATGATAAATGCATCATATTAACTCTCAAATCAATTTGCTCCCACTCGTTGTCCTCCCGCATGATGCTTAGTAAGTCATCTCCATCATCACGCTGATTTCGTCCCTCGGATCAGACTTTCTAATCCCGCCCGTGATTTCAGTCAGATGACTTGGAGATAAAAACTCACCGGTGCTGCTGCCGCGGCCGATGCCGTTTTTCTTCTCCGCTCTCGGCCGACAGACTCCGCGCTCCCCGCGCAGCAGACTCTCCTCCGCGTGCACACGCACCTCGTGTCACGGTCAGACCGGCTGCTCACCTCCACGTGTGTGTTTGCCTTTTTTCATGCGTCCTTCTCCGCCTCAACCATCGTTCAGATGCGTGTAATAAAACCGTATCTCGGTAATGTTTCAATCAAGTGTGTACAAATATGATATGTTAGATTTGATTTTTAAAAAGCAACAGATGTCATCCTGATATTAAAAGGCAGGCTTTAAATGTAAAAGTTATCAAATATTTTCGACAAGTCGCATTTACTTTCTGTATATATTTGTTATTACTAAATTATTATTTTACATATCTGTCATGTAACTCCTATTTATGGTTCGTTATGTGGTCGATTAATTGGCGTGCTATTTAAAATGACCTGTAAGCCGTTAACAATATTTTCTAATTTTCAAGTTTATCTAAATTAATTGTAATTGAGAAGAAAAAAAATCTGACAACAATTAGTCTATTAGTTATTATTTTATTTTTTTTATCTGGTCATTTTGTAAACAAACGACATTTCACTTGAAGGAAATGATTAAGTGACCAACTTTACGGCTCCAGTTGTTGTGGAAGTCGTGATGGATTTGTGAGAGTCTCTGTGCGCTCTGGCGCCATCCTTCCCTCAGCTGCGGGACCAGTGCTGCTCTCCACACACACACACACACACACACACGCACACCAGCTCTGCAGTCTTTGGCTGCCTGAGGTGTCCGTCAAAGTGAAGGTAAAGAGAGAAAAAAAGGTGTTCAAGAAGAAAAATCCGAGCTATACTTCTATTGGTAGGCGGGCCGGTCGTGGAGGGAACAATCGGGTAGACTTTGCCAGGGAACCACCTCAAAGCATATCGGGTTACTTTGAGTGACGGCGTAACCATGGCGAATAATTTGACTACGGCTATTGTTTTATCCTCACCATCCCCGGGTCAGATAACCGACCAATCAGAGTTCATATGATCGCTTGTCTTGCCAGCTTAGAATAATATTATTAAAACGAGGCAGCGAGCCCGGTCCGCGGGAGTAGGTTATGTTGAAACGGTGTAGAAAAGGTGGAGGAGGGCGGCCGAAGGAGACGCAACTTTCTCTCTTTCTCGCCGACTATATGAGGATTTGTCGCCTGGGGTTCTGCATGGCTGAATGGACTTGAGTGCGCTCCACAATACGCGGCTGGATATATCACACCTAACCTGGGGCTGTTTTCACTTTTAGTTCGCTCTTCTTCTTTTTTTTTTCCGGCGGGGGGACCTTTTGTCGCTTGTGGACTTTACGCGTTTTGATTTGATGTGAGACTGAGACGGCGGACGTGGGAGTAAGGCGCGATATAATCTCCACCGATTTCCCGTTGTCGCCATGTCCATGCTTCCGACGTTTGGTTTTACGCAGGAGCAAGTCGCGTGCGTCTGCGAGGTTCTCCAGCAAGGGGGGAACATCGAGCGGCTGGGGCGCTTCCTCTGGTCCCTCCCGGCGTGCGAGCACCTCCACAAAAACGAGAGCGTCCTCAAAGCGAAAGCCGTGGTCGCTTTCCACCGGGGGAACTTTCGGGAGCTCTACAAGATCCTGGAGAGCCACCAGTTCTCGCCGCACAACCACCCGAAGCTGCAGCAGCTGTGGCTCAAAGCGCACTACATCGAGGCGGAGAAGCTGCGAGGCCGTCCGCTGGGCGCCGTGGGGAAGTACCGCGTCCGGAGAAAGTTCCCCCTGCCCCGCTCCATCTGGGACGGAGAGGAGACCAGCTACTGCTTCAAGGAGAAGAGCAGGAGCGTGCTGCGCGAGTGGTACACCCACAACCCGTACCCGTCCCCGCGGGAGAAGAGAGAGCTGGCCGAGGCCACGGGACTCACCACCACGCAAGTCAGCAACTGGTTCAAAAACCGCCGCCAGCGGGACCGAGCAGCGGAGGCGAAGGAGAGGTAGGAGCCCCGGACACTTTCAGGGCCGTGTCATTAATCACACAAATACACCGAGGTTTTTACTTTAAATCTGGCAAAAACAGCAGTGTGTCTTTATTTATATTCCCACAAATGTCATATTTTCAGTGATTTCTCGCCACTGTGTCTATTAGTGGGATTTATTCATGAAACGGAGAGTTCTGCATAGTTCTGGCTTTGATAAATTCACTTCCCATTGTTGTTCGTGCATGTTTGGGATCATTTTTGGGCCGCGCGTAAAAGTTGAAAGGCAGCAAATTAAAGGATCGACGTCAGGTCAAAATTACAAGGTTATAAAAGTGGCATAAATGTTTTAATCACACTCATTATAACATGGAATTATTCACGCGTCAACAGGACCAGCGAGAAACCCGTTTTAACCCTCCGGGTACCGATAGAACGCGTCGAGCAGTTGTTTTACTGCCTGTAGCCTCCGCGTCGGCCCGGCTCGCATTACACCAGCGCTCGTTGGTACATTTCGGGGGTCTGGAAGTTACGCAGGCCAGCAGGCAGAGGTCTGGGGGACGTTAAGTCAGGTGTTCGTTCACCCGGTGTCTTCTTTCACCCGTTGGCCTCTAATTCTGGCTGAAAGCTCCACGTAAATCACGTCTCCCCACCGAGAAGGGGCCTGAGCCACCCCTGCAAACACATGGCCTCCACGCAATATACGCAACAGGCACCCGTTTAGCAATAATTGCAGCAGTCACGTATTCAGAGGCACAGAGTTCACTCGTGCGTGTTTACCCAGCTTCAATTAGTCCGCCCCAAACACAGAAACCCAATGCAGGCCCCGTGCATTGATTATTTCAATGAACTTTGTTGCACGTGTGGATTCCTGGAACACGCGCGCACGAACGCATTAATATATAATTAGACTACGTGTTGGATCACAATTCATATTTAAGGCTATTGTAAATATGGATCAGCTTTACGCATATCCCATGAGGGTGCACAACACAAGACTATTGGTTCTGAGTGTGATTAAGTTTGGCTGGAGGCTTAATTAATTGAATATTTAAAATTCATAAATACATAATGTTTAACTGTAAATATTTCAATAGTATAGTATTGCAGTTTGTACATCTGGGGCGGGTTTTAAAATGTGTCCCAATCAGTTTTCCAGACGGACTGACCTGTTGAAATGGCTCCTCGTGCAGCACAACTGATGTGATATTTGCTGTTTTCGTTGGCAGGGAAAACAACGAGAACTCCAACGGCAATAGTCACAACCCATTGACTTCTTCCATGAATGGAAATAAATCTCTTTTGGGGAGCTCGGACGACGATAAAACCCCTTCCGGGACACCGGATCACACGTCTTCGAGCCCGGCTCTGCTGCTCGGCCCAAACTCCGGGTTACAGTCCCTGCACGGCCTGGGGCCCCCGCCGGGGCCCAGCGCCATCCCGGTGCTCGGCGGCGTGGACTCGGTGCACCACCACCACCACTCGCTGCACCACGACACCATACTGAACCCTATGTCTTCTAATCTAGTGGACCTCGGCTCTTAAAAACGACAACGAATGGGGGAAGAGAGCGAAGCGCCTTTTTTGTTGTTGTTGTTGTTGTTGTTGTTTATTTTTGGCGGGGGGAGAAGTAGCTTCCGAGGTGGCGGGAGACGGAGCTTCAAGCGTTTGCGGCAAAGTGCAAAGCAGACAGACTGGAACACTACGGAGACGCCGCAACAAACCGATTAGTGTCCTATTCAACCTTTAAAGTCGTTTAAAACAAGTGGAGAAATCTGCCAAATTAAATCATCGCCTGGAAAACTAGTTTAAAGGCAGCGCACTTATGGAGTTTAATTAAAACAGCTACCATTACTTGAACCATTCTCTCTTTAATCTGCTTGAGGGGAAATGTCATTTGAAAAATTAAGACTGACTTAAGGCTCAGTTAATTAGTGCTGATGCAAACAAAAGGTGAGGAGAATGGGTCGTTTTAGGTTAAAAAAAAATAGTATTTTACCGGAATGTAATAACGTAATATGCTATATTGTTGAAAACAATAAAATGTCTTAATTCTTGGTACCGTTACCGTTTATTTTGTTTGGGAGTTTAGATGCATCAGACTCCGTGAAGGTTCCCCATCGCCTTTTCGTTTACAATACAGGGTTTTCCAAGAGAGCCATGCGCAGTTTTTTAAAGAGGGTTGAGGGATGGGGGATGGGGGGGGGGGTTATGATGTGGTATGATATTCTCAAGTGTCTTATAAGAGCCGTGATAAGATAAAATATCTTAATCTTGATTTTATTATTGTCCTTTTTATTTGGAAAGAGACTGCATGTAAACTTTGCGATACATGATGAAACATAAAACGATGCACCTATAGTTTCATATACCCTTTACAATAAAAGAAAAACAATCCAAGGATTGAAAATGGAGGATTTCTTTGATTGACTCTTGATATTATTACTTTTTGCAGAAAGGCCATCTGTTTTTAGTGTTTCTCTTACCGGTCAACTCTATTTTCCATTGAAGCTGAGTGACGTGTAAAAAAATTAAATGAACGTTCCCACACATGAGCATCTGCTCACAGTCTAATAGGATCAGTTCACTGAATGTATGTGCATTTTCAGATAACTCGTTTATTAATTCTTTGCACTTTTAATTTTGATGTTCTGCATTTTAATGCCAGAAATGGACTTTTCCAACAGACACAAACTTTGTGACCAGAAGGCCAGTGCGTGAGGTTAAAACTGTTACGTGGCCTTTTGAATATGCGTTGAGCCACTATTCCTTAACAATGTTGAATTATTATAGAATCATATTGCATTACGCCAAAATTAAGAGCTAAGCTTTGACGCGTAAGCCTGCCCAAAGAAAAGGGCTATTGTCCTTTCTGTGTGCAGTCCGCCGGCATCATGGTCGATTTATCCCGAAATAATAATCAGAAATGCCGCAGTCGTTTCTCCATAAAAATTAATATCAAGTGTTTCCCCTGCGTTTTCTGTTAAAATAAAATACAAGAAAGAGCTGGCATTAAAATACATTTTTTTTCAGTCTAGACTTAAAATAGGAAAATAGCATCGACTTTTTAATTTGAGAGGATTTCATTTAATTGCATGGTCTATTTAACACGATCGTCCCCCATCTGAATTATTGCGTTTTGAGGTTTCGTTTGGTTTGTCGTCGGCGTTTTTTTTAAGTGATGCTCGCAGATTTAAGGTCAAAGTTCACGTAAGTAATCATTGCCGATGTTAAAATAAAATAAAAAAAAACAAGCGCGAGGGAGACACTTAATCTCGTGCTTTGCAGAAACAACACTCGTCAAGAGGCTGCGGCATGTGGCCATTATGGGCCAAGCTGGGCCAAGTGTCGACGTGCTTCTCCAACCGGGGACCTTGATGTCCAGGTGACGACATCTTATCTGTCCGCGCTCATCCGAGGAGAACAAAAGTGCCGTATGGCGGAGTGAACAAAAAAAATAAGGAAGAAGAAAACACCGAGCTGGAAACCGGCGTTGAAAGAAGACACTTTGTTTGAACAGCTTCAGCCGTGCAACACCTCCACCCTCCCCTCCACCCTCCTCAACCGCCCCCCCCCCCTCCACACAAGTCTGCTGCCGGAGAATAAACCTAAAACAACATATTTTCTTCCTCTCGTACTTTTCACTATAATATTTCCCCTCTTACGGGTTCAGATGCGGTGCGTTTCGTGGCATTTCTCATACTCTATTATCATAATAAAAACAATATGACGGCATATTTTTGATGCCCTTTCTTCATCTGCTATTCATCACAACTGCTGTGTGGTAATATCAGAATGATTATCGTGAATGACCCTCGCCGGGATCTGATTGGCTGCCAGGAAGAAACGCGGGGGCCTGTTGCACCTCGTCGGGCACAACTTCAGGTCAATTACGCACGCAACTCAAAGCTCACGCCTCGCAATTATAGGATCCGCGTGCACGTGGGGGGCCACTCTAAACCCCGCGACACGTTGGTCTCTCACCTGTAACCCCACGAGGGGTTGTGATTTTATGCTCGAGACCTGAACTTGAAGTGGCTTTGCGCGCGCGCCCTGTGTGCCCGCGGCGCGTGGAGAAGCGGCGGGAGGGGGACTATTAAGCCCGTTTTTTTTGGGGGGTGGGGCAGTCGCAGTAGACATTATAGAAATCTGGCGGGAGTGGAAGAAAACAAAGGGCCCCGCTTATATAACGCGATTCTGCTTCAAATAATAAGCCGAGAGAAACAGGAGCGGAATGAACAGGATGAACAACTCGACAGGTGTGAACTAGTTGTGGATTTTCGCCCAAATTCACCGCGGGGTGAGGATGTTAAAGATTAAACGTCAAGGGTCCCACAACTGTCTGCAAACCATCTTGTAGGACAGAACTTAGTGGCGCGTTGCCGCGGGAAACAAAACCATTAAAGACTCAGCAGAGAATGCGGAGGCCTGACTTGGTAAACATCTCGTCCTTTCACTTACTTAGAAGATTAAAAGAGTTCTTCTGACCTGAGATCGGCTTTTGTTCAACGACTGCTGTTGTCCTCATCAGTGCCATATCGTCAAGTTTTAAATGTTACATTTTAAAGTTACTCCCCTTATTTAGTTATTTAATATAATTAAAATAACGGAACTGTATTCTGTATTCTTTTTCGTAATTCTTTCTTTGTGATAATTGGGATTCGTCAATTGGTCGTTTAAGGCAAGAAACCAGTTGAAAAAGTTTTAAAAGGGTAAAACAATACAGAAGAAATTGGTTTGTGTTTTTATTTTTAAATCAATTATTGATTATTGTTTTATTCAATTGACGTATACTATTCTCGGCTTTAGGGACGCGTCTTCTTGAAAATCCTTCGGAAATCATTTTCCTGCTCTGAACAATAAGTGGAGCATGAAGGATTTTAATCACTTGATCTATCTATTAACTGTCGATCGACAGGTGGCGATAAGGCCGCATGAAACAACAGATGAAATGATTAAAGGTACAAACGTAACAATCCCCAGGCAAGAAACAGTATTTTATGCCAATCACAACACGTTTTCCAGCATTGCCCGAAATAATTGTACCATACTCTGCGTTTTAATAAAGGTCCATCTCATTGGGCGCACATGCCGTCCCTCCTCTTATCTCATCTCTCATGAGCTGCATGCGATACGCATCATTTCTCATCCAACCTGGGACTTTTTGTTGAGTGATGTTAACGCGCTCCGTACAAACGCCAGGTACAGTGATGATAGTGTGACGCGATATTGGTCCCAGTGGGGAAATTATCTTTTCACTTACAAAGCCTCCAGGGAGGTCAGAGGTCAAACTTTTACAGCAGCGGCCTCAGCAGAGCTGCAAGAGATTCACTGTTCTGCTAACAGAGAGGCTTTGACCCCGGCGCTGTGGGTCACGGACGCTTTGTCAAACCACTGTGTGCCTTTTTAAAGAGGAACATCCCCGGACTTCAGCCCACCAGAACCCTTTTCCATTTAGGAGACGTGCAGCAGAACTACGATTCCCATCCCTGTTCCAGGACATAGTCATGGATCAAAGGTCGAGTATGAGGATAGTAGTGCAACAAATATTACTGTTAGAGATTCATGCCACTTGTTGCCTAGAGACTTTGGTTGATTGCATTAACAAGGGAGAAACACAGCTGGGATTTACAAAAGTGACGTACTGCGGCTGGAAAGTGTAAACTGTTTGAGTCAGACGACAGAGGAACGTCCCCCGGTTGCGCCATCGCTGTCATTAAATGCTTACTTCTGCCTGCGGGCTTCCACGCCACGAGGTGCCGTTCTATTTCAACCTGCATTCTGTTTGTTTTAGTGCCATTTCATCTCGATGTCGGGCCCGGAGTCCACGCAGCAGACGACTCTCCCTTCCATCCGGTGTGTTTATCATATTCACTTTACTGTATGTGGACTCAACTGTTCATCGACTTGAGTTTACAGTGAAGACAAACTGTCGCTTCTCCTCTGGGAGCAGCACACTTCCCATCGGATGAATCTGCCCTGTGGAATGTGGATGAAGTCCTCTTTGATTATCTAAAAAAAAACACAACTTGAACTGACAAAATTCTTCCGTTACCTTAGATTGCTTTACCAAAATAAATTGTAACACTTGTATGTTAACTTTTTTCATCAGTTTTTTGATAAATGTGTATTATATGTCTCATTAAATTGTTTTAGAATCGCCTTCAAACCCACTATACATGCATGGTGATCAGCGCTAAGGGAGTTTTAGGCCGCGCTTTAATGTGAACTTATAACAATGAAAATATAATTTGAAATGGTTCATATCTTTCTCTGATACGGTAATGCTGACAGGCAGCACAAGGTCAGTGCTCTCAGATGAATTGATGAATAAATAAACCATGCGTACAATAAATGAATAACTTCATCAGTTGTATGATGGTGGTTTATTTACTAAAGTCCTCGCTCCAAAAGGTAATAAAACCCGGCTGTGAAATATAAACGTTAAGGCATTCTAAATGCTGAGTTGATTTCCTGTGAATATTTAAAACATAGATTGGGAACCTGTTAACTCTTCGAAAGTATTAGTTTAGTCCAGAATTTAATATTCGGTGCGATTAACATAACTATAAATAAATAAATAAAAAGCATTGCTCTTGACAAAATTATATATTTTAACCCCACAGACATTTATTCTCTTCATTTTCGGTTTGTATTTAATTCGACGCTCTGAGGTGGATGAGCACTTGGGTTTCACCTTCTGCTCAGCCATCACGCATTTAAGTGTATCAAGTGTGTCCCATAAAACAGGGTAAAACAGTAGGGGGTTTGGGGAGGGAAAGGTGTGTGGGGGGGGGGTGGCGAGGGGGGGTGCACGGTATAGAGTTACGGTCAAAAAGGAGAGGCAGAGATATGGCCAGGGGAGTACGAGCATTAATGCACTCCCCGTGTGCTGGACGCGTTCTGTTACAAAACACACACTCGCACAAATACATGAGCACACCGCGGGGGCCCCGCGCTCGAGTGAAAGGTCAGCAGGCCGACCGCGTCGCGACTTCTATCGCCGCGGCGCGTCAGAGACGCTCTTTAGCTTCTTCACTGTACCACAGTTCATGTCCGTTGTGGCATTCATGACCAGTACACAGCTGTTTTCTACACACCAGCATGCGCTTTGCACACTGCACACGCCAAGGAAGTAAAGGATTTAACATTGATTAGAAATGATTCCATTGAGACATCGTTTATATCTGCTTACAAATACATTGTGTACAGTGTAATAAGCCATGTATTGACATGTACATTTATTTAGTGTGTCTTTGTATAACTGCGATTTACCCGGTAAAGAATGAGTGTACTGTGTGTGTGTGTGTGTGTGTGTGTGTGTGTGTGTGTACACTAGGGGTTAGGAAGGGCTCCCATGGACTTTTCCCCTTACTGTAGATTCCTGGATGGGAGACAGACACGGGCTTTTCTG